GGTTTCCCACGCCCTTTCTTTAAAGATGTTCAAATTTGGGAACTCAGAAAAATACCCTTGATGACCACCTCTGTCTTTGCAGAGTGGGTCCAAAGATTTGCACAGTCAGGAGGTCTGAGAGTGCAGGGGGGGGCTTATGGGGGTTCAGGGGTGCCCATGCGGCTACCTTCCCGGCGCTTGAGCAATGGCTGCTGGGTCGGGAGCAGGCGTGGTTCTCCTTCCCGCTGTGGATCGGGCCGGCCTACCTTCCCGGTGCTTGAGCGATGGCAGCTGGGTCGGGAGCAGGCGTGGTTCTTGTTATTATTATTATTATTATTCTTATTATTTGGTATTGGGGTTAAGTTTGAGGCCTTTGCACTGAGCTACATCCCCAACCCTTTTTTCAAAAAGTTTACTTTAAACAAGATCTTGCTAATTTGCTAAGTTGCTAAGTTGCCCAGGATGGACTTGAAATTAACATTCTCCTGCCTCAGCTTCTCAGACCTTTTTGAGATTAAGTCTGGCTACTGTCTTCTTAGGTAGACCCCACCCCTGTGTGCTTCTGGCACTGGTCTCTGCCCGGAATAGCCATCACTCGCAGACACCCAGACAGATCCGTCTGAGTCCCACTGTCTCTGGGAAGCCTTCCTGATGGTTCCAGCTGCAGGGAGGGCATACTTCCTCCATGGCATGGGCACCCTCCGGGATTGTGGATGCTTTCCTCCACCACAGACAACCACAGGATCCTTTTGCTCTGGATTGTTGTCTCTCTGAACACCTATCCAGCCAGGTACCAGTCCTAGTGACATTGGCTGAGCGGTCTTAGAGCATGCTAAGGAAAGTTAACGTGGAAAAATAGTAACACAGCAGTGGAGAAACCCAGGAGCACCACCTTAACCCAGGGATCGGTGCTGACACATTACATGGCTAACGTGTGGCCTTAAGGTTTGGGAAAAAGGGCACCTTCACCGGCATGCTTCCCCAAGCCCAGGCTCAGGTTACTCACGAGAAGACATCAGATGAATCCAGCTGAGAAACATGCTGTGAAACACGTGAAGGTCGATCTTCAGTGGGTCAGGATCATGGAAGAGCAGGACTTGGAGAAGGGTTGGAGGGTTGGAGGAGGTGGAGAGGTTAAATGCAATGTGGGATGCTGGGTTCAATCCAGGAACAGAAAAAGGGCAGCCTGGGAAAACAGACAATTCGTATAGCATCTGTAGTTTAGTTAGCAGTATTCTACCAATGTTGTTTTAAAAGCTTTGCTTAAAGGTGTCACGGTTAGATGAAATATTACTATAGGAAGTAGCAGGATGAAGAGTCTCGAGGAAGTCTTTGTACTATGTTTACAATTCTGTAAATCTCAATTTATTCCAAGATAAAAAGCTAGAGGGAGAGAGAGAGACTGAAAGAGGTACACAGGTTCCAGAAACAACACATGGACTCATATCCAGCCCCCTCACTTCTTAGCTGATTTCCCTTAGTGACGCTCAACTCTCTGAGCCTCAGTTTCCACTTTTTTTTTTTTATTTTTGTGCACTGGGGTTGAACTTGGGAACTTGCACTTGTGAGGCAGGTGGCAGAACCACTGAGCGACATCCCGGGCCCCCAGTTTCCACACTTTGGAAGACAAGGCTGACAACAGGGCATATCTCAATAGGGTTGAGGCAAGAACCAAGGGAGCTCATTGCTGGGCACACGAGAAGCAGTCAGCAAGGGTTAGATATGACTGCTGATACTGACAGAGGAGGAAGTCCAACCTCCGAAAGCTGGGAGGGTCGGAGAATAGGCTGGGTGATGGAATTCACTGAGGTTTGACTCATTCACTCTGATTCACATGAAATTCTCATGCATGGATTTTGTCTGTGTGCCGGGTCTTGTCTAGGGGGTTGGAGAAAATCCAGACCTGGACCTGGCTCTGGGGGCGTCAGGCGGGAGGATGGGGACATGCACTCGGTTGACAGTGTGGGGAATCCAATTAGAGGTGTGGCTAAGTCACTGTGAGGTCCGAGCCCCTGGCTCTGGGAGTCAGAGGCTGGGTGAGGACTCAGAAAGGGTTTCAGGGATGTCAGGTGCCCCTCGGGTGGAGATCTGACATGTGAACAGGGGTTTTCAGGATCTGAGGGATTTGGCCAAGAGCCCAAGTGAGCAGACTATAGGCACCTTAGTGTTGCACCTGGGTGCTTCACTTGAATTACTGCGAATCCTCTTCAGCCCTGCATGATATGTCCACTGCCTCTTATTGTTGAGGCCACAAAAGCTCAGTGAAGGACTAGGGAGGAGGTTCTGGAGAGGAGGAGGAGAGAGGCCTGGCTGCTGGAGCATGGACTCCAACCCGGGCTGCCTGACGCCAATGCCTCCCGCCTGGAGGTAGGCGCAAGGGCACTGCAGGCTGACGGCACAGCCTACACTACCGCGAGTAGAGGCAGCCCCAGGGTGTGGTCTGCGATGTCCAGGGGAGGGGGACAGGCTGCAGGGATGGCGGGGCACAGCATGGATGACTGCTGCCAGTCCCGGTTTGGAACTGTTTGGCGTAGGTCAGAGGGGCCACGGAGGGTCTGCACAGGGGTGAAAGGCAGTCCAGCCCAGCTGAAGTGTGAAGTGAGTGGGAGGAGGAGAAGGTGATAGGAGGGCAGCATCTCCAAAGACCTGACCCGAGGAAGTGGAAGAACATGAGAAAACTTGGCAGTACAAAAGCACCCTGGAAAAATGTGGGGCAGCTAGCAGACTGTGAGCGCTGCGGGTCCCAGCCAAGTGACACGGGGTCACCACAGTGCAATTGGGTCTTGGCTGTGAACAGAGGAGTGGGAGGTGCCGACACCACCTCCTATCCCAGGCTGCTTGGGGCTCTGGACTCAGGGCGTCTGGCTGAGTCCAGATGCCACACCCTGCAGGGGAGGAGGATGATGTCTCGGGTAGCAGGACGTGATGAGGGACCTAGGGGTGTTCACACCAGTGAGACACAGTTCAGAAGACAGCTGATGTGCCCATGGGCCCAGAGGACAGCGAGGGACACCGTGAATCAGAGCTCCGGGCTCCTTGCGTTCCCTTGTTCGCTTTTGGCCCTTTCTGTTCCTGCTTCTTTCTTTGAAGCCAATATTCCTTTGCTTCCCTAGTCCACCGGGTGGGTATAAGAGTCCCCTCCACTGTTACTGAGCCCCAGGAACTCACTGAGGCCTGGACTCTCTCTCTCCTTCCCTCTCCTCTCTGTCTTTGTTTTCTCATGGTCCTCAGGGAAGGGACCCTGATTGGTCCAATGGGAAAAGGGTGTCGGGGACAGAGCCAGCAGCTGAGGTGCAGGGACCTCATGTGAACCTCCGTTTGGGCTTGCCCTAAGTTCATAAAGGCCCCTTCAGTGCCCCAAAAGATTCCAAAGGAGAGGGTCCGGAAGCAGAGGTCCTGGAAGATGTGTTCTGTTTCCAGAGACTGCAGCCCCTGTCATTCCATGCCTGGCTTAGGACTCGTTTTCCAATTGCCAGGCTCCTTCCTGGGACTGGGAGACATTCAGGCTGGTGGGACACGGAGTCTCCAAGCCCCGGGGTAGGGGTGGGGCTGCCTGGGCTGCTGTCTCTAGGGCCTCTGAGCTCTGGACTCTGCAGTGCAGGCGGTTGTAACACTAGCTACCAAGAGTGGGCTTGAAATTGGAATTTTCTGGCTCTCCAGGTCCCTGGTCGCAGTATCTGATGCTCATTAAACCCCAGGCTGCTGAGTTGGCTCGGTGGATGCTGACTCTGCAACCTGAGGGTGGCAGTGGCCAGCTGGATTCTGCTCCTCGAGCGGCTGACGGGAGGCTGGACAGAGGCGCTGGGCCCCAGGCTCTGGCTCCATCTCACCCTGTGAGCCCGTCTGCACTCCGACGTCTCCATCTCTGTCCGGCGTGTGCAGAATCCTGTGAACTGGCATCCTGGCTCTGGCCTCTCTCCAGCTCCCAACTAGCCCTGTGACCCCATGCAACACCGGCTGTCTGGGCTTCCGTTTCTGTAGCATGCTGGGTCATACAGGAAGACTCTGGAGCCTTCAAAGGCTAGAGTGTCCCTCCAGATAGAGAGGCCAGGGATTGCACCAGTCACTGAAGGGAGTTCTAGAATCTGAAATGTGTAGTCTGCGCAGCCTGTGGGTGGAGGTGCAGCCACCGTGTCACCGGCTCCTGACTGTAAGAACTGCAGACTCCTTCCTGGTCATGTTGGGCTGTTCAGCGTAGCCAGCTCTTGGATCCCCTCCTGTCCCTTCACCTTCAGCCTTCCCAGAAGCCCCTACTCACTGCCGTCTGAAGGCGGCCATGGCTGCTGGCCTCCATGAGTAGATGGCTTCCCCGGTGGCAGCTGGGCCTGGGTCAGCTTCACTCCTGCTTCTCACCCGCTTCAGCCTCTCTTCAGGCCTCAGAGATAGATGCAGAGGCTACCTCTGCCGCCTCCTCTCAGTGTTACGTTGGCCACACAGTACAGAGCGGCTCAGGCCAGGGGCCAAAGCCTTCCACAGTCCTTCTGGAAACAGCTCCTTCCCCTGGTGAGCCTGACCCCTCTCCAGCTGGGCTCAGGCTTGCTCTACAGGGCAGTAGCCAACTCACCCTGTTCCTCGACTGCCCTCCTCTCAAACCTCCTTCCAACAGAAGAGGGCGCTGGAAACTCCCAGCCTATCCACCCATGGGCGAGATGACAGTCACCTGCAATGCCCCACCCCACAGGCTCCAGAGATCCTGCCCAGCCCTGCCAGGCACCGCCAACTTCTTCCTTTGAGTGTTTGTGTCAGTCAAAATTAACCAACATTTATTGAGTACTTATTGTGTAGCCAGAATGGGGAAATTGCTCTTTTTAAAAAAAAAAAAAAGTAAGAAAGAAAATCACTTTTCTGCTGTCTGACTTTTTTCTTCCAGATTTCTCAGCCTTCTGGAAGGGATGCCTTGAATTATTCAGCCTGCGGTGCAGATCTCTGGAGAACACAGCCTTGCGGCTACTTTAATCACTGGAAAGGTTCGGAGTCAGTTATAATCAAGCCAGAGTCAATGTGGAAATGCTCGTCTCTGAAAAGGAAGCCCAAGGAGATAAAATCGGAATGGAGAGACAGAGGTCAGTTTTCAGGGCCTCTTAGGCCCCTTCTCACATTTCCAAACGGGGTCGCAGACCTCAAGCCTCAGCCCCTGGGTCTCTCTGCTTTCAGAAGGGCTCAAACCTGTGTCTCCGTCTAACCTTTTCTAATGTCAGGTGGAGACAGTCCCTGCCCTCTGCCCGTGCAGGGCAAAGTGGGCGAGGAAGGGACCTCTCTCTGATGGAAGTTTGCGGGAAGCTCTTACCTTTTAAAGAGTGTGTGAGCAGACAAGGATGGGAATGGAGGTGAGGTGGGGCAGGTGGGTCTTTGTATCTTGAGCTAGCCCGGGACTGGGCATGTCAAGCCATGGCTGGGCCTTAAGGCAAGGCATGGAGGGCAGGCAGGAAGGTGCCAGTATAGGAGAGCAGTCCAAGGAGGGAGAGAGCTGATCCTCCTGTGTGGTCCTAGGGGGAAGTGACTCCGGATTCCCTGTGTTCCTGTGACCTGGGAGTGTGGTGGGTGGGAGTCTGTTAGTCGCGTAAGAAGGGACATTTGATGAAACCTCTGCAGCACGGGGTGGTCCGGATTGTGTATTCTGTGTCACAAAACTGTGGGGGCCACTGTGCCCGGCTTATCCCAGGGTCTTGAGAGAATTCAGGGTGGCATTGCTGTGCTGAGGGTCCAGGCTGTCTTCTGTCTTCCTCTCAAGATCCTCAGCACAGAGGGCAGGAAAGGTACTGAAGGGGCCCAGCAGCTAGAGTTTGGAGGGGGACTTCCTTTCCGTGCAGCCCTGTGGGAGACAGGATAGAGCACTGGTCAGGGCTGTTGTGCTCCGCTCCCAGCCAGCAGCTCTGGGAAGGTGCTGTGTAGCTAACTGGGCAGCTCCTGGTCTCAGTTTCTGTGTCCGTGAGGCAGAGCGGAGGTTGTAATCTGGTGGGGTGAGCTAAAGCCTGAAGAGCCCTAGGCGGGGTGCTACAGTGGGCCGGACACACTGGGCGCTGCCCTCACTGCTCTGCTAGTTGCTGTGTCCTCCCGGAGTCTGGAAGACTTGTGAGTGTGTGCTGCTGGCTTCTGTGACTGCCAACTCCTTGGTGCCCTACAGACATGGGGGCTGTCTAGAGAAATACTGGTTCATTGGAAAAAAATTCTTTTCCCGAAGAGTGAGGCCACAGCAAGAAGATGGGACTCACTGTTTGCATCTTTCATTTCAGTAGAATCAGCGGAGAGCTGATTGCCCTGTGTTATAAACATGTGAAGCACAAAGGAGAAAGGAGCCACCCTGGGGAACATGGGTGTCTCTGTCCTCGAAGCCGTGGGCGGTGGAATGCAGGCCTACTGCTGTATGTGTGCAAGCCAGCCTCTCTTCCTGCCTGCCTCCCTCCCCACTTGCTTCCCTCCTTCCCTTTCTCTCTTCTTTCCTTCCTTCCTCCTCCCTCTCTCCCCCTCTACCTTCAGAGGGTTCTTGTATTACATACACATCAGTAGTACTGTTTAGTAGTCTGCTTTCTCCCTCTCATCTTTGTATCAGACACATCTGTTCACATCAGTACATATTTATTGAAGTCTCCCCACCTCCACTGTATGTTGCTGTTCTCAGGATTTGAAAAAAAAAAAAGGGGGGTGGGGGGCATTTTGTACAGCCCCAAGGGAGAACCTAAGAAAGGAGACACTTCTATAAAAGACTTAAAATTTTTTTATGTTTACAGTTCTGTGAAACTTGTGTTTTTCTAACTAACATTTCAGAGATTTTTTTTGGGGTACCAGGGATCGAACTTGGGTCCTTGTGCTTGTCAAGCAGGCAGTGGAACCACTGAGCTGAATCCCCTGCCCACAGAGATATTTCTCTCACCACCATATAGTATATGGACCTAACTTTATGGTATTCAAGAATACAAGGCTTAATTTTGCCAAGGTTCAATGTAAGTTTTTTTTTTTTTTTCTTAAATGTGGTACTGGGGATTGAACTCAGGACCTTGCACTTGCCAGGCAAGTGTGGTGCCACTGAGCTACATCCCCACCCCTCAAGGTAAGTTTTGAGGCCACCTTGAATATATGAATGCTAGGGAGTAAGGATGAAATCATTGAATGTTTATTTGTAATGTTTAATTAAGAAACTTCATTCCACAGAGATATTTAAAGCTATATATGACACAAAACATATTACGCTTAGCAAGATCCCCTTTTCCCTTCACATTTCCTTGTTCCGTGTTTCATCTTGACTCTTGCATCTTTGACATCTGTGCCTCTGTTTTCCCTGGAGGCGCTTTGTGAATGACCCAGCTGTATTGGTTAGGCTTCTTGTCACTTGGATGAAATACTTGACTTCTACAACCTAGGAAAAGAGGTTTATTTTGGCTTATGGTTTCCAAGGGTTCAGTCCCTGGTTGACTGGCTTCAGAGTGGAAATGGCCTGGCAAAAAGGCCTGGGGGAGGAAAAGCTGCTCAACCATGGCAGTCGGGAGGCAGAGAGAGAGAGAAGAACTAGAGTGAGAGATTTTACCCTCCTAATGCACAGCCCCAGGGATCCAGCTTCTCCAACCAGCCTCGATTCAGAATAGCACCTTCAGCTATGAACTCATCAGTGGATTGATACACTGAATTCAGTGTCCCCAGGATCCAGTCACCTCTGAAAAGCCCCACCTTTGAACACATGAACCTTTTGGGGACATTTTAAGTCTAAACTTTAACATGGCCCTAGGTGGCGGGAGAGCAAACTTTCATTTTTGTCTAACTCGTTTGAGAGTGCAAGGCAACACTTTTAAAATCTTGTTCAATGTTGTTTCTGGAGATTGTATTCTGAGCCACAAGCATCTATCTGCATAACATCAGGACTGTCCTTTTATTTGTTCCATAAGTGTGTATTAGTGATCTCCACAACATAACTGCTTGCTGGATTGCTTTTAAAAGTGATCTTTAAAGGCTTGTTTACAATGACAGCCAACATTTACAATTGTTAGGTCATAACCCTAAGAACAGTTGCGAAGTCCCTGTAAATTTTTTTGCCTCTTTTTTGCCAATTCTGGGAGGTGAACTCTATAAACATCCCAAACTAGCAGTGATTGAGGTCAGGGAGGGCTAATGTGATTTCCCCAAACACCATTTTGTTGTTTAAAATAAAGTAAGTAAAAGAGAGTGTGCTTAATAGGAGAGTCTTTGAAACAAGTCAAATTTAAAGAGATTTTTCTCTTTTCTAAAAGGATAGTTGTGGAAAAATCTTCATCTTATGTTTGGTAATATGTGATTTTTTTTCCCCTTAAAAGATAAGATTAATGAAAGTGTGGTTTTCTATCTGTGGACTGCACCCTAATTTATTTAATCACTCTTCTATTGTTGGACAGTTCAATTATTTCCACTTTTTTTCTATTATAAATAACAAAGCACTCTTCTTGTACTTGTATCTCTGGCACATTCCAGATTATTTCCTGGGGACAAATTCCCACAGGGTCAAGTGGTGTGGATATTTTTTAAGGATCTTGATAGTTCATGCAAAATTGTTTTTAGAAAGGTCATGTCTAGTTAGGATCCTGAGCAGTGAACAGAGGTGAGCACTGGATCGTAAACGTGGCTCAGTTCTAAAAGGAACAGGGGAAACGCTTCCCCATAAACGCACTGAGCTTTGGGTGTACACATACCTTACCAGAGCTGTGGGAGTTTGTAGGACTCCTTGGTTCACTGACTTCCCTCTTATGATAGGCAGTTCCCTGCTCCGAGAGGAGTTCCTGCTAGGACTGAGTGGTTATGATGCTAGACTTCCTTTAGTTTAGCTAAAATATGCTTCCCTATACCTCACACAATTACAGAAAGCTGGGCTTATTCTCCTCCATTTTGAAGGCAGAGCAGTTGAAGTTCAGAGAGGTTGAACCATTTGTCCAAAGTGGAATAAAACCTGGGTCCGTCTGACTGAGGCTACACACTGCTTTCTTTAGGTCTCTCTTTTCAGAGCTACTCAACACACTTGTCCTATAGGGTGGACTCTGCCTTCCACTGTGTCTGGAGAGTGTGCGCTCCATCACTACCAAGACAGCCCTGACCTCAATTGCCTGTCCTGCTGTCCCATGGGTGCTCCTGCTGGTGGCTGCACTGGGTTGAATGGTTCATCCTAGGGTCCCCTTTCCTGGAGTCTGCATGAGGTTGGAAGGCAGGAGGGAGGTGACAGCCATGACCTTCTGGAGGGCCTAGTTGTTAGATGGAGGGACAGACACAGAGGTGCCTGCTGGATCTTGTCTCTTCCCTGCAGCTCTTCCTCCTAGTCCCTGCCCTGTTGACCACAGTCACTCTGGCCCATTGCCAGGCCTCTGCTGCATAGCAGGAGCCGGGAGCCATGCAGAAACACTGGCTCTTGCAAACCTGCCCATTGGCTACCCTTTCATGGTCCTACTTTGGTACCGATGAGCATGGCTTCTCCAAGTGACCTGTTAGTGGCTCCTACTCTGGACCTCCAGCTGCCTTTCCAGACCTTTGCCTCCTCAGGTTTTCTTTATAAGGCGTGTCTGATTCCAGTAATAAAGTCCTGGTCCCAAAGCACCCAGGATTGTCTTCTGCACCCACATGAATGAATCATGTTGGAGTCTGCGTTAGTCATTCCCTGCTCTGTGAGCTGTCAGGTGCCTGTGGCCATGGAGAATCAGCTGGTTCTCACCTGTGTGTCTTAACATGGGGTCTGCAGAAAGACATGACTCAGACCCTGTGGTGGAGCTGCGCAGGCCAGGGAAGCTCATAAACAGTTGGCCTGAAGTCCATAGATGTGTTTTATTCAACACATTCCAAGGACTAGTACAGAGTTTCAATCTCTAGAAATTCATATATAATTCTGGATTTCTGGTTTCTCTTAAAAACAAGGAGAACTGGCCATGCTGGGACCATATTCCTACAAGATACAGCTCTTGTCTGGGCTGAGTAAGTGGGTGTCCAACTGGGCAGAGTTGTGTTCTGTTATTGAGCACCTGTAGCCCAGACTTGCCCAGTAGCGTTTACTCTCCAGCCCCATAGCCCCTTAGTTACTGTAGTTTTCTCTATGTGCTGCTTGGCATCTGGACATTTG